CCCCACCACCCAACATATGAGCCCACCAGCCCCCACCACCCAACATATGAGCCCACCAGCCCCCACCACCCAACATATGAGCCCACCAGCCCCCACCACCAACATATGAGCCCATCAGCCCCCACCACCCAACATATGAGCCCACCAGCCCCCACCACCTATCATATGAGCCCACCAGCCCCCACCACCCAACATATGAGCCCACCAGCCCCCACCACCCAACATATGAGCCCACCAGCCCCCACCACCAACATATGAGCCCACCAGCCCCCACCACCCAACATATGAGCCCACCAGCCCCCACCACCCAACATATGAGCCCACCAGCCCCCACCACCCAACATATGAGCCCACCAGCCCCCACCACCCAACATATGTGCCCACCAGCCCCCACCACCCAACATATGAGCCCATCAGCCCCCACCACCCAACATATGAGCCCACCAGCCCCCACCACCCAACATATGAGCCCACCAGCCCCCACCACCCAACATATGAGCCCACCAGCCCCCACCACCCAACATATGAGCCCACCAGCCCCCACCACCCAACATATGAGCCCACCAGCCCCCACCACCCAACATATGAGCCCACCAGCCCCCACCACTCAACATATGAGCCCACCAGCCCCCACCACCCAACATATGAGCCCACCAGCCCCCACCAGCCAACATATGAGCCCACCAGCCCCCACCACCCAACATATGAGCCCACCAGCCCCCACCACCCAACATATGAGCCCACCAGCCCCCACCACCCAACATATGAGCCCACCAGCCCCCACCACCCAACATATGAGCCCACCAGCCCCCACCACCCAACATATGAGCCCACCAGCCCCCGCCACCCAACATATGAGCCCACAATCCCCCACACCACCCAACATATGAGCCCACCAGCCCCCACGAGCCAACATATGAGCCCACCAGCCCACACCAGCCAACATATGAGCCCACCAGCCCCCACCCCCCAACATATGAGCCCACAATCCCCCACCAGCCAACATATGAGCCCACCAGCCCCCACCACCCAACATATGAGCCCACCAGCCCACACCACCCAACATATGAGCCCACCAGCCCCCACCACCCAACATATGAGCCCACCAGTCCCCACCACCCAACATATGAGCCCACCAGCCCCCACCACCCAACATATGAGCCCACCAGTCCCCACCACCCAACATATGAGCCCACCAGCCCCCACCACCCAACATATGAGCCCACCAGCCCCCACCACCCAACATATGAGCCCACCAGCCCCCACCACCCAACATATGAGCCCACCAGCCCCCACCCCCCAACATATGAGCCCACAATCCCCCACCAGCCAACATATGAGCCCACAATCCCCCACCACCAACATATGAGCCCACCAGCCCCCACCACCCAACATATGAGCCCACCAGTCCCCACCACCCAACATATGAGCCCACCAGCCCCCCACCACCCAACATATGAGCCCACCAGCCCCCACCACCAACATATGAGCCCACCAGCCCCCACCACCCAACATATGAGCCCACCAGCCCCCACCACCCAACATATGAGCCCACCAGCCCCCACCACCCAACATATGAGCCCACCAGCCCCCACCACCAACATATGAGCCCACCAGCCCCCACCACCCAACATATGAGCCCACCAGCCCCCACCACCCAACATATGAGCCCACCAGCCCCCACCACCAACATATGAGCCCACCAGCCCCCACCACCCAACATATGAGCCCACCAGCCCCCCACCACCCAACATATGAGCCCACCAGCCCCCACCACCAACATATGAGCCCACCAGCCCCCACCACCCAACATATGAGCCCACCAGCCCCCACCACCCAACATATGAGCCCACCAGCCCCCACCACCCAACATATGAGCCCACCAGCCCCCACCACCAACATATGAGCCCACCAGCCCCCACCACCCAACATATGAGCCCACCAGCCCCCACCACCCAACATATGAGCCCACCAGCCCCCACCACCAACATATGAGCCCACCAGCCCCCACCCCCCAACATATGAGCCCACCAGCCCCCACCCCCCAACATATGAGCCCACAATCCCCCACACCACCCAACATATGAGCCCACCAGCCCCCACTACCCAACATATGAGCCCACCAGCCCCCACCACCCAACATATGAGCCCACAATCCCCCACCACCCAACATATGAGCCCACCAGCCCCCACCACCCAACATATGAGCCCACCAGCCCCCACCACCCAACATATGAGCCCACCAGCCCCCACCACCAACATATGAGCCCACCAGCCCCCACCACCCAACATATGAGCCCACCAGCCCCCACCACCCAACATATGAGCCCACCAGCCCCCACCACCCAACATATGAGCCCACCAGCCCCCACCACCCAACATATGAGCCCACCAGCCCCCACCACCCAACATATGAGTCCACCAGCCCCCACCACCCAACATATGAGCCCACCAGCCCCCACCACCCAACATATGAGCCCACCAGCCCCCGCCACCCAACAAATGTTTCTGGTTTCTGGTGGTCAAAGAGTGATGCAGTAGGCTTCGGGTGGTCAAAGGGTGATAAAGTAGGTTTCTGGTGGTCAAAGGGTGATACAGTATGTTTCTGGTGGTCAAAGGGTGATACAGTAGGTTTCTGCTGGTCAATGGGTGATACAAGTTTCTGGTGGTCAATGGGTGATACAGTAGGTTTCTGCTGGTGGTCAAAGGGTGATACAGTAGGTTTCTGGTGGTCAAAGGGTGATACAGTAGGTTTCTGCTGGTGGTCAAAGGGTGATACAGTAGGTTTCTGGTGGTCAAAGGGTGATACAGTATGTTTCTGGTGGTCAAAGGGTGATACAGTAGGCTTCGGGTGGTCAAAGGGTGATACAGTATGTTTCTGGTGGTCAAAGGGTGATGCAGTAGGCTTCGGGTGGTCAAAGGGTGATACAGTAGGTTTCTGGTGGTCAATGGGTGATACAGTAGGTTTCTGCCGGTGGTCAAAGGGTGATGCAGTAGGTTTCTGGTGGTCAAAGGGTGATACAGTAGGTTTCTGGTGGTCAAAGGGTGATACAGTAGGTGTCGGGTGGTCAAAGGGTGATACAGTAGGGTTCGGGTGGAAACGATTATCACAAACCTACTGTATCACCATTTGACCACCAGCAGAAACCTACTGTATCACCCTTTGACAAGCTCTCTCCCCCTCCCACCCAGTCCACGAAGCTATCCTCTACACATCGAACGGGCTCATTAAAACTGTTTCGTTCAAATATTTTGTTGTGTTAGGTTCGCGTACAATACAAAACTAGTTAGTGCGAGCTGTTGATGTGGCCACCATTACAGGAAGAACAAACGTTAAGTAGCTTTTCAACTTAATGTAGCGTTGTCTTTCATTCCCCACTCAGGCCGGCTATTAGGGGAGTCAGCATGTAGAGTTGCGAGCACTTGGCGCTATTCCTACCAAGGAAGTTGCCTTAGATAAAACTGATGTAATAAAGTTCTAAGATAAACGAGGAGCCAGGAGATACTAAGGTAGGAAATAGCTTAGGTAGAAATGATAAGACACGGGCCAGGACCTGATAAGCAAGGGAGGTAAGGCGGGAGTAACATGATGGAGGGGAAGCCACTCATGGCTTATTTAAAAAGATAGCTTCCCTTTGGGATGGGTTTTACGTCGGTGGATAAGTGTTCAATATTACGATGGTTGCTTCAATATGTCAATCACTCACCAGGTGTCAGTTGATGTGTGAGTAAAGATTGTGTTACAGTGTAGCTAACACCATCACATAGTAGATGGGGGGGGGGGATTTAATGGGGGAAAGGAATGGTGGATTATATAAGGGAGGATTTAAAGGGATGATTTAACGGGAGGATTAGAAATGGAATGTAATGGTGTATGATATAATGGTGTATGATATAATGGTGTATGATATAATGGTGTATGATGTAATGGTGTATGATGTAATGGTGTATGATATAATAGGGCACTAAAAGAGAGGATATAATTAGAGGATAAAAACTAAGGATTTCGGATTTATGTGAGAAAATATAATATAGGATATAATATAGGAGATAACAAAATGATAAAGCCTACTGGATGATTGAATTGAGGATATAATATGGATAGAGAGGGGAGCATGTGGTGCGATTCTGGATGGTTAAAAGGAGAATAAGATATTATATGTTATCATGAAAGATATTATATGTGTTATCATGAAAGATATATATGTTATCATGAACAATATTATATGTTATCATGAAAGATATTATATATGTTGAAATAAAAAATATAGTATATATGATCATGAAAGATATTATATTATATGTTATCATGAAAGATATTATATATGTTATCATGAAAGAAACATGTTATCATGAAAGATATGTATGTTATCATGAAAGATATTATGTATGTTATCATGAAAGATATATATATATATATGTTCTCATAAAAGATTATATAGGTTATCATGAATGATATGATATATGTTATTATGAAAGAAAAGCTTGAAGGTTTTTAAATCATAGAATCGTAAATGTTAAAAAAATATAACAGACCTAAAGAAAAATATATAATAAAGACCTAAAGAGCATAGAAAGATCACAATAATTTGTGTCATTAAAATGCATTAATAGCATCAGACTTTCCCCCACTATACCAAAAACATAATTGAAGATTCAGATTATAATGACATCCACTATTCAGCTCACATTACAACCTACAAATGTTAAAATTTTAAAGGGATATAACCAGACAAAATGTCATTATAAAACTGGTTTTTTTGCTTACTAGTTGATTCTGCCAAAAACATTGATTATAATTTAATACTGAAATGTTAGCCCAACCAGGTACATTGGCCAGTTTTGTTTCAAGGAAAGAAGTGCTAAATCTCAGTTATAAAATGTTTTAAATGTACAAATGTGTTGTCACACTTTCTAACTCTAACACATGGCATGACAAGAAACAATAACAATAGTAGAACTGACTAGAAAAACCTGGGGTGTATGAAAGTAAAACTTACATTTGTGCACAGCTGGTTGGTCAGTTTTTGGACCTTCTCTTGAGCTATCATCAGGTCACGCTTTAGTTTGCGAACCTGAAATGGGAAAAAAATGATATTTCTTTTTTAACGTGAATTGAAATTAATGATATTTCTTTTTTAACCTAAATTGAAATTAATGATATTTCTTTTTTTAACCTAAATTGAAATAAAATGATATTTCTTTTTTAAGCTAAATTGAAATAAAATGATATTTCTTTTTTAACCTAAATTGAAATAAAATAATATTTCTTAAATGATGACATTAGATCGCCTGCTATGTAGTTTTTTGCACTTGTAAAATCGCCTGCTATATATGAATATTCTCATCAAATTACCTGCTATATATGAATATATACATCAAATCACCTGCTATGTATGAATATACTCATCAAATCACATGTTATATATGATTGCACATTAAATCACCTGCTATATATAATTGTACTTGTTATATCACTTTAAACAGGATGATCATTTGTTAATACACAAAAAAGTGGAAGACAAAAAATGTTTTACCTCATGTGCATGTCTGTCTTCAGCCTGGCGAAAAAAATATTTGTCAGTCATAAATTTCACTATATGTGACTTAATATAATTATATTTTTGTCAGTCATAAATTTAACTATATGTGACTTAATATAATTCTATTTTTGTCAGTCACAAATTTCACTATATGTGACTTAATATAATTCTATTTTTGTCAGTCATAAATTTCACTATATGTGACTTAATATAATTATATTTTTGTCAGTCATAAATTTAACTATATGTGACTTAATATAATTATATTTTTGTCAGTCATAAATTTAACTATATGTGACTTAATATAATTCTATTTTTGTCAGTCACAAATTTCACTATATGTGACTTAATATAATTCTATTTTTGTCAGTCATAAATTTCACTATATGTGACTAAATATAATTATATTTTTATCAGTCATAAATTTAACTACATGTGACTTAATATAATTATATTTTTGTCAGTCACAATTTTTACTATATCTGACTTAATATAATTCTATTTTTGTCAGTCATAAATTTCGCTATATGTGACATAATATAATTACATTTTTGTCAGTCACAAATTTCTATATATGTGACTTAATATAATTCTATTTTTGTCAGTCATAAATTTCACTACATGTGACTTAATATAATTCTATTTTTGTCAGTCATAAATTTCACTATATGTGACTTAATATAATTCTATTTTTGTCAGTCATAAATTTAACAATATATATGACTTAATATAATTCTATTTTTGTCAGTCATAAATTTCACTACAGGTGGCTTAATATAATTTTATTTTTCATCAGTGATAACTTTAATTACAGTGACATTATTAAATTATATTTATAGTCAGTCATAAATTCAATTAGAGGTAACTTAATACAATTTATTTTTTGTCAGTCATACAATTTATTTTTATTCAAAGCAGTTGAGGTTTTCTTTTTTTGGGATCAGAGGCGTAGCAACCTAATTCGGCGCCCGGGGCAGACTATCAATTTTGCGCCCCCCCCCCTATTTCTATAAATAGTTATTCCTGTCTGTGAAAAAACTCCCCACCCCCAGTTGGAAAGGTTTGTGGAGCTTCTTATTACCATCCTGTAACAATGTTTTTTCTGTGTCACAAGGTTGTTAAATCAGTATGTGAAGCCTTGTAGCCGTTTATTTTTCGTAGTTTTGATAGTGTATAATTCGATACTTCAGCTTAAAATGAGCTTTCAAATTAATTTCTCTACCCCTTTTGGCGCCCCCTTAGGATCGGCGCCAGGGCGGCCGCCCCACCCGCCCTCCCCTAGCTACGCCTCTGTTTGGGATACCATTACATTTTAACAGACTATATTATAATTAGACGACATTATTAAAATCTTGTAGCAAAAATTAAATTGCCACTATAAGACGATATTATAAATATCTTGCAGCAATCATTAAATTGTGACTATAAGACTTTATTATAAATTCTCACTATTCGACTATATTATTTATAATTAAATAGTTGGTATTTGACTACATTATAAATAAATATCAGCAATAATTAAATAGTTGCTATTTGACTATATAATAAACAAATGTCAGCACTACAAACTTACAGATGAATAGACAGATGATGAGCTTGATACAAGCGATAGATTGGACCCATGAACTGTAAAAATACAACTAGAATTAAATGCATGGACCTACAAAATCAAAACATTTCAAATAAATTTACCTAAATTCTCACCAACTTGGTTTTTATAAAAGCTTTTTTAGTATGGTGTTAAGTAACTTTAGATTTAAATCATTTACATTTTTTACATCTAGAATTTTTACTTAAATAAGTTGAATTTCAAAATTATTCAAATTAAGGGGGCACTACACCGTACATACAAAAATTTACAAAAAAATTTTTTTTAAGAAAACAAACACATGTATTGCAGTTATAAAGATATTTTATATACTTTTAGACCAATGTGAATGTGTCTTCAGCGTTAGCCGATTAAAAAATACAGAAATAAATGATTTAGACATATCATGCTTCAATCTGTTTAACTCAATAACCATTTAATGTATTGACTTAAAACTTCTAATTTAAATAAAGGAGAGGATTCCTAACAGGAGAATAGAGAGACTTTTTGAATATATGACAAAATGTTTAAGTTACAAATTTTTTGTTTTTAGATTAAAATATTAACCATGAAATCAACTTTGAAATTCTCTAAAAACAAAACTACTCAAGATAACCTAAAAAAGTCTCTATTACTCTAACAGTAATTATGTTGTGTTTCTACTGTACAAATTTCATTGAAATCTAATAGACAGTATTTGAGATCATAATTTTGAAGTTTTAAAACTGGTAAAAAAACAAAATTGTGAGAAAAAGGGGAAAACGTGTTTGAAAATGAAAAAAAACTGTTAAACACTCTTTATATCTTATCAAAAGCTTATCATATAGTTTAAGCAATGTATACAAGATACTATAATCAAAGTTTCAATCAAATCAAGCAATAATTAGTCTTGGTAATTAGGTTTAATGAGGTGCACCCCCTAAAAATAAATTGTAAATAAGAGTTATCAAAAATATTTTAAAAATTAATAAAAGCTTTTAAATCAAATAATATCCTAGTAAAAGCTTATTAAATAGTTTTAGTATGTACAGAAGTTACTATTATCATTTGGTTTCTGAAATTAAGGAGTAATTATTCTTGTAAATCAGGTTTTATAAATGTACCCCTGAACAAAAAACTTCAAAACAGGTCAAGTAAAATTTACAAAAAAATTGAATTAGCTTACAAAATAGCTACATAGAGGTACAGTATACAACTCTGAAAACATTTGCATATTACTAACATTACAAAAACAAAATAGTTACAGTAGGCCTAATCATTCTCTATTTAGAAAGCCGAAGAAAAATATGATGATCTGCCTTCAGCCTGAACTAGTTTCTGTTGGGCTATGGGTGAAATAACAGCCATCTTTCAGTATTACTAACTGTCATGTAATCCCATGATTGGGGCCATATGCCTAGATGCATGCAGAAAGACTTTCATTTGGGTTGAATCTATCATGCAACTGCTCAATATGGCATTTGTCGTCAGTTGCTAATAAACATTTTGGACAGCTTTGGCAACATGTTCTAAGATGAATGATGAACCTTTGTGAGATAGCGGTGTTGAATTATGTACCATGACACATTTGCCAGAAGCACCAGGAGGTTTTCCCTGTCTGTCAATCCTGGTGTGTGTCCTTTCATCTGTCAAAGGGACATGATTAGAAGGAGCTCCAACTTTCCACCTCAGTTCCCTGTACTGCCAGTCTTACTTGAAACTGCCTTCTTGAAGTAGGTCTGGAGATTTTTTCAGCTGCTGAAATGAGATTGAGACAATATACTGATCTATACATTCTAGCTATCAGAGTGATTTCAAGAATTCAAACAAGTTTGACAAATCCTAATACCTGCGTAAGACTTCCAATCTATCCACTCAGTGCATTACGGCGATTAGACTGCAGAAGCACTAAATTTTCTTTGCGATGGTTGGTGGAAGTAGTGTAGCTGCAACCGATGCATGTGCACTGAGATGCAGGTACTGTAGGTGCATCTAGTGCATCTGTGCAGTCCCAAGTGATGTGCATCAACCCTAGCAAGCTTGGCAGCACTAGCTTTGAGACTTCAGGCATTGACTGTAAAAATATTTAAAAATAATAAGGCATATTGTTATTTCTAGATCTATCTATTATTCTATTATAAACTATTGTTTGTATTTATAGACTCATATTTACCTATATAGATCTGGACTAGAATCTAAATTCTACTTCTAGATCTTGATCTAGGTTTTAGATTTAGAATCTCCAATCTAGATCTAAATCTAGATCTAGATTTCTAGTTCTAGATCTAGAATAGATCTAGATTCGAGATCTAGATCTAGAACGACTCATTATCGATAAGGAATAATAGTCCAAGTTTATTGATGAAAATACAATTAATAACTATATTTTAGAAAATAATTTCAGTAAAATAGTAATTAAATCAAATCTTACCGTAAAAAGAAGCCAACAAACAAAAAATGTGCACTTATTTGATAAAAAAGAAGCACTCAGGTTCGCAGATGTCGAGTAAAGGAAGTCATGCGCTGAGCAAAATAATAGCCGGTATCTCGGCAACCGCTTACATTTCGGTCATATGTCGCCTTGACATGAGCTAATTTTAGTAACTTACAACATGGCTTCGCCTGGTAACCAATGGGAATACAGCTTTTCTTATTTCCATCATGCATTCACCTCGCGATTTCTATTTTAGTATTTAAAACTAGGTCAATGTATTTAGGTTATTTAAATGAGCAATTGCAAGCCGGTCATTCTGATATACGGCTTGCTATGCTAGGTCGCTTAGTTAAGAATCGACAGGCATGTTTATGGAGGCCATTTTTCCGTAAATTTATATTTTTCCAGGCACACACACCTTCTTCAAATGCACAAATATGTATGAAAATGTCAATTTACAGTTAAAACGATAACGGCATTAGGTAAATAAGATGTTAATGTATAGAAATAAAAAATAAAAAAAAATCGAAAAAAAAATAAAAATAAAATAAAAAATCAAGCTGAGTACGGTGTTGTAGCCCCTTAAGGGTATGGGCCGGTGATGATAACCAAAATAACCAAAATGCTTTTTTCTAAACCTAATGCTATAATATTTAGCAAACAGTTATGACTCAAAGAGTTAAGTCTATAAAACTAAAAATTTGCAGAAAATTTCATGCCGTTGCCATGGTGATGGTGGCCCACTTGGATTATGTTTACCTAATCCAAGAGTTGAAATAAACTAAAAGATGGCTTGTGCGAATTCAATAAAACCTTGCAGTATTACAGAGATAGGTGTTGGTAACAATTGTTATTGATTACAATTTCAAATTTTAAATACTTGTGTTTTTTACAAAAAAAAAATTCTGAAAATCAATTTTTTAAAAATCGACATTTGTGCACAAAATGTATAATTTTAACTAAAAGAAAAACCATACAAATTTTTTAAAAATGTGTCCTATCAGATTTGTTGGTATATGTTTACAGAAAAACTAGAGACAATTTTGATCAATTTTTATATTAAGTAAGAAAGTTATTTCAATATTAAAATTGTAAAAAAAATCCAAATGGCTGCCATCAACATGGCAACAGCATGAAATTTTCAACCACTAAGGCTTAAACTATGAGCTAAGGCTTAAACTATGAGCTAAGGCTTTAACTATGAGCTGAGGCTTAAACTATGAGCTAAGGCTTAAACTATGAGCTGAGGCTTAAACTATGAGCTAAGGCTTAAACTATGAGCTAAGGCTTAAACTATGAGCTAAGGCTTAAACTATGAGCTTAGGCTTAAACTATGAGCTAAGCCTTAAACTATGAGCTAAGGCTTAAACTATGAGCTTAGGCTTAAACTATGAGCTAAGGCTTAAACTATGAGCTAAGGCTTAAACTATGAGCTTAGGCTTAAACTATGAGCTAAGGCTCAAACTAAATGAAGGACAGAACATGCTGATCATGCCATGACATGCAACTAAAAAAATGCATTTTTTTAAGTTTAAAATCTGTTTGGCAATTCTACAAACAGCAGATTTCTATTGGTCATCCTACAAACAGCAGATTTCTATTGGTCATCCTACAAACAGCAGATTTCTATTGGTCATCCTACAAACAGCAGATTTCTATTGGTCATCCTACAAACAGCAGATTTCTATTGGTCATTTTACAAACAGCAGATTTCTATTGGTCATCCTATAAACAGCAGATTTCTTCCAATTTATTTTAGTTTTGTTTACAGTAATAATGCTTTAAATTTTAAAAAAAAGGTATTTATCAGATTTGACTGTATCAGACTGGGGTTACATGTATTTATCTGAGTATATTAGACCAGGGCTGAGTGTATTTATCTTCTATATCAGACTGGGGCAAAAGGTATTTGACTATATCAGACTGGGGCTAAAGGTATTAATTTGGCTATATCAGACTGGGGCTAAAGGTATTTAATTGACTATATCAGACTGGGGCTAAAGGTATTTAATTGACTATATCAGACTGGGGCTAAAGGTATTAATTTGGCTATATCAGACTGGGGCTAAAGGTATTTAATTGACTATATCAGACTGTGTCTACAACTGACAGGCAGAGACAAGGAACTTCTCAAACATGCAGAATAAAAGAAATGTGAGTTAAATCAACACTAAACATTTATCAACTCAGGTTAGTCAAACATAGTCCACCCTACACAGTCCACCCTACACTGTCCACCCTACACAGTCCACCCTACACAATCCACCCTACACAGTCCACCCTACACAGTCCACCCTACACAATCCACCCTACACACTCCACCCTACACACTCCACCCTACACAGTCCACCCTACACAGTCCACCCTACACACTCCACCCTACACAGTCCACCCTACACACTCCACCCTACACACTCCACCCTACACTGTCCACCCTACACACTCCACCAATGACCTACACAGTACACCCTACACAGTCCACCAAATACTTTATAATCCACAAATTACCCTATAAACAAAGCCTTCAACTGCATAAGATAACTTCATATAAACATTAGCTGAACATCTACATGATTTAATTTAATAAGTTATTGTTAAACTTTATCTAGCAAATTAATAAGATGTATTAGCCTATTGCTAAATATGTAGAAGATTAAATATCAAATACAGCACTATTTTGATTTAACTCCCACAGAATATTCTGATTTTTGTCTTGACGGCAGTCTAGCATTAAAGAAATAAACTTTGGGAACTAATTTGATCTTGTCAAAAACAAAATGTGTGGATTATTTTTTTTTAATAAGAATGTATTTTAAATTAAATAACTGTGTCTCAAATTTAAAATAAAGTTAATCTATTTAAAACTGTCTTTATTTATTTGGTTAAGGTATTGCAAAGAATGGGAGGTAACCATAAATTAAATAACACTATATGCTCATGCAATTTTTCTTTCCCTTTATTCATTATGGGAAACCAAAGGTTGCTTATTAAATCAGCTAGCTTTCCCTTGATTTTTGTGTCAGTTTAAACTAGTATGTCACTACATTGTTTTAATTATTTAATATATTTAACTTAGTAAACTTTTTATTATATGTTTAAATTGATACAAGTAGTAAATTTGATATTTGATACAAGTAGATCTGGCATTTTAAAGATTTGATTGTCATTGTCAAATTCTGGACATTAATTTTTGCATGCTAAATTCACATTGGAGCAATTAATTTAATGAATTAAAATACTGATAGAAAAAATGATTAGCCAATAAACAAGGAAATGAACCAAAGAAACAACTCATAGGCCAAACATCCACACTGAACTCTGGGTAGACAGGAAATGGAAACAAAGAGGGCAGAAACAATATGAGGGCAGATACAATGAGGGCATGAAAGGTAAGTGCATGAACACTTACGACTATCATCTTCTTCTCGACTGGTTCTCTTGCCCAGACCAGAGTAGGGTAGGCTAGACTGGGTGCTGGAGCGCACCATGCAGGGCCCTGGGAGAAAAGTTGGACCATAAGCCATGGGATAAGTGAATCTAGACGAGTGACTTAAAGTAGGAGAGGCAGGTACAGTGTGGCACTGTGGACTAGCTAGCTGGGTGAAGGACCCGGTGCGGGGCAGATCCTCGTTGAATGAGGAATGTTTAGTGCTACAGTAAGCGCTGTCTGACTTGATGCTGTTGGAGCGATGGAGACAGTGGTTGGATGAAGAGGGGGAGGAGCCAGGAAGTGGGGGTGGGAGCATATCTGCATGATGGGCCAGCATTCTGGCAGTGGCCCGGGCCTGGTGGGCCAGTGACTCAATGGTTTCAGAGTCTGACATGGCGTGGGCGTGGAAGGGATGGTGTGGTGGGAGAGGTGGTGGCAGACCCACCCCATTACTGGAGGTAGAAGATTTCAGCCACATACTTCCCATTGCAGGACTTCCAGAATTTCTGGGGCTTGAGGCAAATTCCAAGGGCACATAATTTGATCCAGGCATTCTGGCCTGCAGCTCCTGCAAGTTGACATAGTGGCTGGTCTGATGCTCACGGCCATAGGTTGCGTGGGGATTAGATATGATTGTCCCTCCAAGCATTGTTGGACTGGATTGCTCTCCCTGGGGAGATTTGCTTAAGCTTCCTTTGCTTCCAAAAAGTCTGCGTCGACCAAGTGAGCCGGACTGACATTCTGTTTGAGTACATCCTGTGGACTTGCTGGATGTCAAGCCGCCATTTTTCTTTTTCCTGTCCAGTGTGGAGGAGCTGTAGCCCTCCATCATGGCCAGGTCAGGGTTCAGCGGCTTCCCTGAGGCGCTGGCTGGGCGGGGCAGCATCAGGTCTTGTAATGGCCGCTGGCCAGTGTCAACACCATGCTTGGCTAAACGGCTGCCCACAGCGGATGAGCCCTGACCCTTGGAGCCAGCCAGACTTTTGCTGCTGCCCCCCGAGGAGTTGCTAGTGTTGCTGAGTGGCCTCCTGTAGCCAAACTGTGAGCCCGGGCTGGTACTCAGGGAGGTGTTGTTGCCCCGGCCTGTCTGGAGCCGCCTCATGCTGGCCTCTAGCAGGTGCGACTGGTCTGTGTTGGTCTCTGTGTCTCTCTTCCTGCCTGACCCTGGGGAGTACGCCCTGTGGGGGGAGTCATAATCTCCCTCTGAGTAGTAGGCGTAGTCAGGGTTGCTGCCATTGGACATTTTCCTCAATGAACTATAACCTCCATCACTTCTAGATGATGGCCAGCCATAGTCGCTGGGGTCACTGCTTAAAAGTTTATTTGGGTCATTACTAAGGTACTTGTTAGGGTCGTTGCTAAGGTACTTCCCAGGACTGAGTGAGTACTTCCTGCCCCAGGGTCCACAAGGCTCGCTGTTGTAGTCCGACCCCATGAAGGCACTGGTGCCCAGATTGGGCACTCTCTTGCCCACCAGACTAGAGTGGCCTCCCATGCCTCCATTGTTAGTGAAACAACTGAGGATGTCTTTTGGGGCCCTCTTTAAACTGTTGTATGGGTTGTCAGACAGGGCCCCCTGTGAGGAGCCCGTCAGGTTCTCGTCAGTGCTCATCTCAGCAATGGTGTCACTGATCTCACCGCTGCTAATGGAGCTGCTGTCATCAAAACTGAAATGGGGAAAAAAATGTCATTAAAATTTATTTTAAATCATGTACAAACATTATATTGGTAAAATACAATTACAATGTTGACAATGTAAATAGCAACGTATGCCGGCTATCTAATGTTTACATTTTTTTCAATATAAAATCAAATTAGAAAATGAAAAGATAAAATGACAGAGCTATAAGATACACATGAAAACATGTACCCTGGGGGTGGAAGGTATCCACTTAAGGTGTCTGGAGGGTTCATGCTGACCCCTCTTAAGGTGTGCACGGGGTTAATGGTGACCCCTCTTTAGGTGTCTGGGGTTTACACTCTCAGAGCGGCCTTTCTCTATGTTGTTCTGGTAGCAACCATTTACCACTAGATTGTTTCCGTGGTCTTGTCAAAAAGAAACATTCGCTCACTCCCCGAGGCTTTCAGATCATTCAGTGTCTCAGGAATTGTTTTCTATCAGAGCCAACACTACATCATGGGATGTAGCATGTCTAGCACAACAGCTTTCTATCATCTACAGTCCTTATTTCACCACTGAACCACAGCAGCATTAGCCGGCTAGATATCCACATCACTAGAGTAGCATTAGCCGGCTAGATATCCACACCACTAGAGTAACATTAGCCGGCTAGATATCCACATCACTAGAGTAACATTAGCCGGCTAGTTATCCACATCACTAGAGTAACATTAGCCGGCTAGATATCCACATCACTAGAGTAACATTAGCCGGCTAGATATCCACATCACTAGAGCAGCATTAGCCGGCTAGATATCCACACCACTAGAGTAACATTAGCCGGCTAGATATCCACATCACTAGAGTAACATTAGCCGGCTAGATATCCACACCACTAGAGCAGCATTAACCGGCAAAAGATGCCGTGACACAAGCAGAGAGCCGGCAGGTTTAGCTCTATGTACAACAAACAGCAAGTTGAGCGCGATGACATCACCCCAGAGCTCGTGAATACACAAGTCTGTATGCGGGACCTGCCGGACATCGACGGCCGTGTAGCGTGGCCAAAAATCTACGTCCGATCAATAGAGCGGCGGGTGGGACCGGCCGACAAATTTTACGGAGGCCCCCATGACGTCATGCTAAATGCAGAACACGTTGCTGCTTATATCCATATTCACACGGCGCTTCTAACATGAATACACGCGTTGTCATTTCTTACATTTACTGCTATTAAACACTTCTTACATCTTGAATAATAAAGTTCATTCAAATTTTTAGCTCCTCAATATATATATATATATATATATATATATATATATATATATATATATATATATATATATATATATATATATAAATTACCCAAGAAAAATTCAATGTCCGGGTTTTAAGCTCAGTAATTTAAAGCAAGTATGTAGATCTTCTCTACATTAGTGTGATGCTCTGATATTGAGCTTACCCAACATATTGTTTCATATGAGTTTGCTTGCACTTGCGCGTGGATGGAATATTTTTTCATAATCTTTAAGCTATGAAAATTTCACGCTAATCGACATTTCCGAGAAAAACTAAGCTACCAGCTTACCAGATTAGTTGTAGATGGTGCTAACCTCTCTATACGAAAAATTGAACTACCAGTAAGTGATCTGTGGGTAAGTGATGTGTAGGGGAGAGTGATGAGTAGGGTAAGTGTGATGTGTAGGGTAAGTGTGATGTGTGGGGTAAGTGATGTGTAGGGTAAGTGATGTGTAGGGTTAGTGTGTTGTGTAGGGTAAGTGATGTGTAGGGTAAGTGATGTGAAGGGTTAGTGTGATGTGTAGGGTAAGTGTGATGTGTAGGGTGTGATGTGTAGGGTAAGTGATGTGTAGGGTAAGTGTGATGTGTAGGGTAAGTGATGTGTAGGGTAAGTGAAGTATAGGGTAAGTGATGTGTAGGGTAAGTGATGTGTAGGGTAAGTGTGATGTGTAGGGTAAGTGATGTGTAGGGTAAGTGTGATGTGTAGGGTAAGTGATGTGTAGGGTAAGTGTGATGTGTAGGGTAAATGTGATGTGTAGGGTAAGTGTGATGTGTAGGATAAGTGATGTGTAGGGTAAGTGATGTGTAGTGTTAGTGTGATGTGTAGTGTTAGTGTGATGTGTAGGGTAAGTGTGATGTGTATGGTAAGTGATGTGTAGGGTAAGTGTGATGTGTAGGGTAAGTGTGATGTGTGGGGTAAGTGATGTGTAGGGTAAGTGATGTGTAGGGTAAGTGATGTGTAGGGTTAGTGTGATGTGTAGGGTAAGTGATGTGTAGGGTAAGTGATGTGTAGGGTAAGTGATGTGTAGGGTAAGTGATGTGTAGGGTAAGTGTGATGTGTAGGGTAAGTGTGATGTGTAGGGTAAATGTGATGTGTAGGGTAAGTGTGATGTGTAGGGTAAGTGATGTGTAGGGTAAGTGATGTGTAGTGTTAGTGTGATGTGTAGTGTTAGTGTGATGTGTAGGGTAAGTGTGATGTGTATGGTAAGTGATGTGTAGGGTAAGTGTGATGTGTAGGGTAAGTGTGATGTGTGGGGTAAGTGATGTGTAGGGTAAGTGATGTGTAGGGTTAGTGTGATGTGTAGGGTAAGTGATGTGTAGGGTAAGTGATGTGAAGGGTTAGTGTGATGTGTAGGGTAAGTGTGATGTGTAGGGTGTGATGTGTAGGGTAAGTGATGTGTAGGGTAAGTGTGATGTGTAGGGTAAGTGATGTGTAGGGTAAGTGATGTGTAGGGTAAGTGTGATGTGTAGGGTAAATGTGATGTGTAGGGTAAATGTGATGTGTAGGGTAAGTGATGTGTAGGGTAAGTGTGATGTGTAGGGCAAGTGTAATGTGTAGGGTAAGTGTGATGTGTAGGGTAAGTGTGATGTGTAGGGTAAGTGTGATGTGTGGGGTAAGTGATGTGTAGGGTAAGTGATGTGTAGGGTTAGTGTGTTGTGTAGGGTAAGTGATGTGTAGGGTAAGTGATGTGAAGGGTTAGTGTGATGTGTAGGGTAAGTGTGATGTGTAGGGTGTGATGTGTAGGGTAAGTGATGTGTAGGGTAAGTGTGATGTGTAGGGTAAGTGATGTGTAGGGTAAGTGATGTGTAGGGTAAGTGATGTGTAGGGTAAGTGTGATGTGTAGTGTAAGTGTGATGTGTAGGGTAAATGTGATGTGTAGGGTAAATGTGATGTGTAGGGTAAGTGATGTGTAGGGTAAGTGTGATGTGTAGGGCAAGTGTAATGTGTAGGGTAAGTGTGATGTGTAGGGTAAGTGATGTGTAGGGTAAGTGATGTGTAGGGTTAGTGTGATGTGTAGGGTAAGTGTGATGTGTAGGGTAAGTGATGTTAGGGTAAGTGATGTGTAGGGTAAGTGATGTGTAGGGTAAGTGTGATGTGTAGGGTAAGTGTGATGTGTGGGGTAAGTGTGATGTGTGGGGTAAGTGATGTGTAGGGTAAGTGTGATGTGTAGGGTAAGTGATGTGTAGGGTAAGTGATGTGTAGGGTTAGTGTGATGTATAGGGTAAGTGTGATGTGTAGGGTAAGTGTGATGTGAAGGGTAAGTGTGATGTGTAGGGTAAGCGATATGTAGGGTAAGTGTGATGTGTAGGGTAAGTGTATTGTATAGGGTAAGTGATATGTAGGGTAAGTGATGTGCAGTGTGGGTATTATGTGTAGGGTATGCATGATGTGTGTTGTAAGAGATGTGTAGGCTTTGCATGTTTAGTAAGGTAATAACTAAACTGCAATATTTTCTTCTTGAAACCTTAGTTTCAGCAGTTGTTATTTTGATATTATGTTTTGTTAAAATGTACAAAAAGCTTTTTAAAATGGTGTCATACTTTCTCTCCCCCCCCCCACCCCCCCCCCCCCCCCCAACCCACTCTGTCACCACACATTGTCAGAGAAGTCCAATAAAATCCATAAACTTTTCTTCTAGCTACCAGTTTAAATGTTTTGCACTGAGAAGGTCATCCTGACATGTGTAAATGTATACATTTACTTATACATAGAGTTTGATTTATAACATAAATGTTTGATTTCTTCTCATAAAGATACTTGATTTTATTTTAGAGTTTTGAGAAGAGATCAGAAAATTGGACTAATTCCCTGAACTTGTCAATTTTGGATTTTGATTTTGTCAGGGTATTTATTGTGATATACCTTTCCTTCTGTCTTTACCGGGTTACTTTCAGATATATTTTTTCTCCACATGGTGGGGAGAGGGGGGCACATAAAATTTCCAGGATGGAATGACTAAGTTTATCTGACTCTCTTTCAATTTAGTACAGGTAGGGCAGTGGATGTGCTTCAGGAGAAGGGGGCGTCACTGGTGTCAGGCTTTCCTTTCCCACCCCCAATTAATTTTTGTCCAACTACCGCACTTCAGATAACTTCTTTTGTCAGACATTGTATTATTTATTCAACTAATTAGATCAACATATTAGTCCAAAATGTTCAGTTTAAAACAGAAATTTAAAACATCAATAGAACAAAGTTATAATAACAAAATTTGTATGAAACTAGGTACTAAAAAAAAAGATAAAGATTTATTTTCTTTAAATATATATTAGATATGACACTATTTAATTAACTAAAAAAAGGAAGGGCCACTTCTTAAATTTTTGTAAAGGTATTAATAACATTATATAGTGACCTGCACTTTTCTTTTTTTTAATTAGTTAAATAGTGGTTCAAATTTTAAAATAATAGAATTGCATGACTAAAATAATTGTGCACCGAATGAAGGCTAATAATGTGTGTATAATAGAACAATAAAATTAGTACTTCATATAGGAAAATCTAATTTATTCTTTAAAAATTAACTGGCTTCCAATTAAGTCAAATCTGATGGTACATTGCAGTGCAATTGGGCCTTGACACATGTGCCAAGTTTGAAAGAAATAGGTTTGTTAGAAGTGTTTGAAGTTTTGCTCACACTTTCAACACATGACAAAGCATAATAGACAAAAGCATTAAGCAAATTGGAAGAAGCAATTTAAATAGCTTGTAAACAGCAAAGGATTTTAATTTATTTCTAGAATAAATATTTATTAAAGCAGGTGATAAAATTATAAAGATTACAATTGTGATTGTGTTAGAAGTGAATAAAAATGGTTTACCGCAAACTTAACTATTTCCCACAACTTAAGATTTTATCCCATAACAGAAAGGAGATATTTCTCAATAATTTTACTGAGATATTTCCATAATATGGAAGTTACTCCCCTTTATAAAATAGTTCATACATTTTTCAAGCGCAAAATGAGTTTCCCTACACCAAAGTGAGGTTAAGTGAGGTTAAATTTCCCTACAAATAAAACTGAGGTTAAGTTTCCCTACACCAAAATGGTAATTTTTCCCTACCGCACAGAAAATCTGCGTCTAAAGAAGCTGAAATAATAACAGTTATAAAATAGATTTTAAAATGCTTGCTTAATTTTTCTCAGGTGAACTAGTGATTAGCTTAAATGATTTACAGATGAACTAGTGGACTAGCCAACAAATAAACTAGTGACTAGCCTAATTAGCCAACAAATGAACTAGTGGCTAGCTTGATTTGGCCAACAAATGAACTAGTGGCTAGCCTAATTCGCCAACAAATGAACTAGTGGCTAGCCTAATTAGCCAACAAATGAACTAGTGGCTAGCCTAATTAGCCAACAAATGAACTAGTGGCTAGCTTAATTAGCCAACAAATGAACTAGTGGCTAGCCTAATTAGCCAACAAATAAACTAGTGACTAGCCTAATTAGCCAACAAATGAACTAGTGGCTAGCCTAATTAGCCAACAAATGAACTAGTGGCTAGCCTAATTAGCCAACAAATGAACTAGTGGCTAGCCTAATTAGCCAACAAATGAACTAGTGGCTAGCCTAATTAGCCAACAAATGAACTAGTGGCTAGCCTAATTAGCCAACAAATGAACTAGTGTTATGCGCTGTGACCATGATCTCAATGTGAGGCAACAATACGATGTACAAGTTACCTGTCATCATCCATAATGCCACTACTTTTCTGCATACACTCAGTGACAGCAACAATACGATGTAAAAGTTACCTGTCATCATCCATAATGCCACTACTTTTCTGCATACACTCAGTGACAGCAACAATACGATGTACAAGTTACCTGTCATCATCCATAAGGCCACTACTTTTCTGCATACACTCTCTGACTGCCTGCATGCCCTCACGGAATCTCTGCTGCAGTCTGCGTGCGTACAAGGAAGCTCCACCTTCACTTAGATATCCACTGCTCCACTCATCCACTCCTCCACCGCTCACATTATTGCGGTTGTTTTTTAGAATATCTCCATCAGACATATAACCCGAGACGTAATCATATGTGTCAGATTCTGAGGCATAGTCAGCATCACTGCAAGCAGAAAATACAAATGAAGGTATACACTTAACACTGGGATAGTAATGAATGTATACATAGACTTTTTATCCTTGAAGAACATAAAAGATTGATTTATATACCTTACATATAAGTTCTATTTTTACTAGCAAAAAAAGCTGAGAAATTCATCAGGTCTGGGACAGTTACTTTAGTGCTTACCTGGATGTAGAGTTGGGACAGTTACTTAAGTGCTTACCTGGATGTAGAGTTGGGACAGTTACTTAAGTGCTTACCTGGATGTAGAGTTGGGACAGTTACTTTAGTGCTTACCTGGATGTAGAGTTGGGACAGTTACTTAAGTGCTTACCTGGATGTAGAGTTGGGACAGTTACTTAAGTGCTTACCTGGATGTAGAGTTGGGACAGTTACTTTAGTGCTTACCTGGATGTAGAGTTGGGACAGTTACTTAAGTGCTTACCTGGATGTAGAGTTGGGACAGTTACTTTAGTGCTTACCTGGATGTAGAGTTGGGACAGTTACTTAAGTGCTTACCTGGATGTAGAGTTGGGACAGTTACTTTAGTGCTTACCTGGATGTAGAGTTGGGACAGTTACTTAAGTGCTTACCTGGATGTAGAGTTGGGACAGTTACTTTAGTGCTTACCTGGATGTAGAGTTGGGACAGTTACTTAAGTGCTTACCTGGATGTAGAGTTGGGACAGTTACTTGAGTTGATCCGTTTGATCTGACCAGAGTAAAACTTGCTCTGGCCTGGGTCTAGTGGACGCTGCATACCCAAGCCGTGGACGCTGGAAGTTCTGGTGGCATACATGGTGGTTGTTGGAACTGAGATGCCTGTAAGGGGATAAAATATTTCACATGTCATGATAAAACATATCACATGACATGATAAAACATTTCATATGTCATGATAAAACATATCACATGACATGATAAAACATTTCATATGTCATGATAAAACAAGTCACATGACATGATAAAACAAGTCACATGACATGATAAAACATTTCATATGTCATGATAAAACATTTCATATGTCATGATAAAACATTTTACATGTCATGGTAAAACATTTCACATGACATGATAAAATATTTCACATGTCATGATAAAACATTTCACATGACATGATAAAACATTTCACATGACATGATAAAACGTTTCACATGTCATGATAAAACATTTCACATGTCATGATAAAACATTTCATATGTCATGATAAAACAAGTCACATGACATGATAAAACAAGTCACATGACATGATAAAACATTTCACATGTCATGATAAAACATTTCACATGTCATGATAAAACATTTCACATGACATGGTAAAACATTTCACATGACATGATAAAACATTTCACATGTCATGATAAAACATTTCATATGTCATGATAAAGTATTTCATTTATGTTAATACATTCCACACAGCTTCATAATATATTTGTATAGTATTACACTTAATGTGTATAAGTTCTCATAGTATATTAATATATCATTTAAATGTTTGAATACTAATCAGCTTTACCCTATTTTAATTCACACAACCTCACTTTAAACAAATAAAATGTTTAAACCTCAATTAATATAATTGGTATACCAACTACTAAATTACTAAATATCCATTGAAACAACTATACATCTACACATCAAGATGTAAAACATCTACACATCAAGCATCCAAACATCTACACATCCAGAAGTAAAACATCTACACAAGTCCCATCACATCTAAAAATCAAGCCTCAACACATTAAACATCAAACCATTTACACATGAAGACTCTAAACTTCTACACCAGGGGTCTCCATATTTTTTCAGCCTGAGGTCAGGATTGACTATCAAATATCAGTTCGGGGACAAAAACACACTCGAGGTCCAAGTTTGTTCTCAAATTGTTCTTCACATATTTCATTCTTGAAAATGTTTGTGCACACAGATAATGAGATACGTTGTTCCAAAAATTGAAAAGTACCTTAATGCTAAATTTTCCACATTAGGAAATTCTTGTAAAAATTCACTAGTCCTTCTTGAACTTGTCCATAAGGAGGTCATTTGCTTGCAACTGAATGACCCCCAGCTGCAGTTCATCTAGGCAACTGGCCAAATGCTTCAAATGGCTTTCAAAACAGTCTCACTTCTTCTGCCTTTGAATCCAAGTCAGAAAACAGCTGCTGAAACTGTAGTTGAAGGTTTTGGTATCTCACATGCAAATGACGTGAAGAATTCAGCAGTTCAGCCTTGAAGATCTTGCACTGCTGAAAGGCCTGCACTTGTTCCAAAAACATGACGTTTGGATCTGAAGGCCTTTAGGCTTAGGTGGGTGTACAGATCAGTAACTAGAGTTTCTTCTCTTTATAGTTTTAGGTTCAGAAAATTTAAATGGCTGGTTATGACCAATATCCATACCCTCTCTTTATCAGACATTAATGGCTGTAGCTTGCCCTTACTTGCCATGAAGTCACCTATTTCCTTTAACTTAAATACTATGCTCAGAACATACTCACAACTTCGCCATTTTACTGCTGTGTAATAGGTAACTTTTGCAATTCTGTGTCTGCCTCTTTCCACATGTCTCTGAACTATCTATGGTTGAGCTCATGTGACCTTATTAAATTCACTACAGGATTCAGTACACTGCTAATGTCGACATATTAAGCACACAAAGCTTGCTGGTGAATAATACAGTGCAGGAACATTGGTTGTAAAATGCTTTTCTCATTACATATCTACTTCGCTTGTCCAACCAAGCCTTTCTTTATGCCACTTTCCTCCACCAACAGTCAGGTAACTGAGGTTAGTCCAATCCAAGTTATAATCAGCAAATGTTTTTTTTTCAACTGATTGAATATATCATCTCCGCTAACAGTGTCATACATGCTACGTAGGGAAGCCATTTCATGTCTAATGAACACAAGCAGTTGAGAGGTGGAATAGCTGCAATTGAAAAATGGAGATTTGCTTGCATTTTTTGCCCACTGGCCGTAGTTTGGAGACCCCTGATCTACAAAAGCCTTAAAACGTATACACATAAGAAACCTACAAATTAACCATTTACACATCAGGACTCAACACATCTACACATCAAAACATCTACACATCAAAACATAGCCTTAAAACGTATACACATAAGAAACCTACAAATTAACCATTTACACATCAGGACTCAACACATCTACACATCAAAACATCTACACATCAAAACATCATCTACACATCAAAACATCTACACATCATCTACACATCAAAACATCTACACATCATCTACACATCAAAACATCTACACATTAAAGATCTACAAATTAAACAAATTACACATCAAGACTCAACACATCTATAGTATATATCAAGCCTTAAAACATACACCATTAAAAGTCTACACATCTATAGTATATGTCAAGCCTTAAAACATACACCATTAAAAGTCTACACATATATAGTATATATCAAGCCTTAAAACATACACAATTAAAATTCTACACATCAAGCCTCAACATATCAAACATGAAAACATCCTATTATTTCTAAACAAAGGCAATCCACACCTTTTTAAAGACTTCCTAACAGAAAAACAACTTTTTTCAACATCTTTATAACACAGAAACAAAACTTAGGCAGCTTTGTAAATTTATAAAATAAAACTCCAAATTTTGACTGCAATGTATTAATGACTAATGTAACTTTAAAAACACAACACAACTTTTTAACCCAGAGATTAAAAGTTTAACATACCAGGAATGTGGAAATTTCTATTGTTAAAACCTCCATATCCAGTATATCCACGAAAGTATCCGTATGGTAATGCACGCATGATTGGTGGCATGGGTTTAATATCCATGGCCTCTCCTGCATCATCCAGAAATGTCGTCTTCTCATCTTTGTCGGGGGTGAGGAATGTTGTCTCTTTACCCATCAGGCTTTTGTTGATATCCAGATCTGCATTCATTTTGTTCATTGTTTCAGTGCGGACTTCCGCATCAAATGTTGTCTCCATTTTCTCACCCGGTCTGGGCTGGACTACAGCAACATTGCTGGCATTTTTGGAAATATGTGACCCAAGCATTTTGACACCAAGCTTTGGTGAATTGGTGTTGGATGGAGTCAGTGGCTTCTCCAGAGCTACATTGTCTTTGATGGTCAGCTTAGACAGCCCAGTTGGGTCAGACCTGTCAGTCAACAGATTTTCTTGACTAGAACTCTCTTGTTTGGATTCTTTCTTAAGGGAATAATTATTTTTCAAATCTTGAATGGGACTTTCCATATTAGATAGATTTTGTTTAACAGAACTGTCTATATTAGATACATTTTGTTTAGTCCTGCCCATTGAGGGGGAGGGTGGAATAGTTGTATCCCCAGAGCTGACAGAGGATTTGCTTGAATCTTGAGGAATTTGCTTTGGAGTGACAGAACGTTGCAGGACAGAGAGATTGGTCTGGGTGTTGCTGTCGGATTTGGTTGCCTTTTGTGAAGAGGTAGGTGGTGTTGACATTGTCGGTTTGACAACATTCACTGATGGATTGTGACGGCCTAAATTTGGACTCATCATTGGACTTTGTGGGAGAATTTGCTTGACACTGCGCCCTGCCTGTGAGGGGTGGCCAGCCTGTGAGGGGTGGCCAGCCTGTGAGGGGTGGCCAGCCTGTGAGGGGTGGCCAGCCTGTGAGGGGTGGCCAGCCTGTGAGGGGTGGCCAGCCTGTGAGGGGTGAGTATCCAGGTTAACAGCAGGGATGGTCACAGGCACATAGTGGGAAGCTTGAGCTGTGCTCCTCTGCTGAGCTGGAGTGAAGGCACTGGCTTGTTCACTTGCCTGATGCTGCTGTTGGCGCTCCATATTTTGCAGATTCACCCGAGGGTGCACGTTCTGTACAAGAGGGTTTGAAGGAACACGTGTGGGGGTGGCATAGCCAGGGTTGTGGGCATAAGGCGGGATGTAGCCATGAGGCATGTTGTGCTGATGTTCTAGTGTGGCACCAGGCTGATAATGCTGGGCCTGGTACTGCTGTTGTTGAACAGAATACGCAGCTTGCTGCGAATAATGCTGCTGTTGTCGACTCTGGTATTGTTGCTGTTGAAATTGCTGCAATTGTTGCTGTTGCGACTGCTGCTGCAATTGCTGTTGCTGGTACACCTGCTGTTGCTGCTGGGACGAAGTCCTGGAGGAAGAGCCAAAAGTCTTTGGCACATTAACACCAGGCAGATCTTTATAAAGTGTTTTATTGTATTCTTTACTAGCAGCAGCTGCCCGGGCTTTCTCTTCTTTGGAAAGTTTACCAGAAGATTTACTGGAGCTTGGTTTGGGTATGCCAGATGATGATGCTGGAATAGACGTTGATGAAGATGATGAAGGAATGGGTGGTGATGTTGATGTTTTAGATGATTTACTAGAGGATGATGACTGAGTTTTGGGGATAGAAGTTAAGCTGCTTAGTTTGGAAGCCTTTTTTGTTGATGGGGTAGGGCTAGCTGTTGCTAGTCTTGGGTCATTCTGGTCTGGCCACTCTGATTTAGCTCCAGATTTTCTCCCAGCATTTGGAGACACATTTTTCTGGACGAGACCTGCCTGGGCTGGGTAGGGTCCTCCAGTGGGAGGACCAAGCCCAACAGCACTAGGAATTGGTGGAGGACCATCAGGTCTTTCTTCTGGTGAATCTTTCTTGGAGCTGAAAGCTTTGACCAGAGACTTTTTGCCAGACTTGGAGGTGCCTTTGGTTGGAGTTCCCTTGTTGCTGGCACCACCAACAGCCCCCGCCAGAATGGCATGATCACTGGAGCTGGAGCTCTGGCTGCTGGTGAAGGAAGAAGGGTCGCTGCTGCTAGTTTTAGAATCACTGTCACTTCTTGAGCTGCTCGTACTTGTGCTGGTGCTGCTATTTTTAGAGCTACTCTTAACAACGCCTTTACTTTTCTCTTTGTCTTTATCCTTGTCCTTGAAGAACTTAAACTTGTCCAACATTGAGTTTTTGTTGTGGGAGGGTGGTTTGGAGGAGGTGGTACTCTTGGAGGAGGAGGTGGAGGTGGTGGAACCTGCACTGGTCCTGTTTGACTTCTTGTCCAAGAGAGTCTGGCTCCGAGAGGTTGGAATCCCCTTACCAATGGGAGTTGGGATTCCAGAGGGAGGAGCCGCTGGTGACGTGGCTCGCACGGGCCCTCCAGCGTTTGGATTTCCAGACCTCAGGGGTATCAGTGAAGAGGAACCTGTAAATATAAAGTTGGTAGTTAGCAGGTGAAGCGGTGTCAAAGGTCTACCGTCTAAACACCAATGGTGGAGCCACCAGGGTACTAATGTCTAAACACCAATGGTGGAGCTACCAGAGTACTAATGTCTAAACACCAATGGTAGAGCCACCAGAGTACTAATGTCTAAACACCAATGGTGGAGCCACCAGAGTACTAATGTCTAAACACCAATGGTAGAGCCACCAGAGTACTAATGTCTAAACACCAATGGTAGAGCCACCAGAGTACTAATGTCTAAACACCAATGGTGGAGCCACCAGGGTACTAATGTCTAAACACCAATGGTAGAGCCACCAGGGTACTAATGTCTAAACACCAATGGTGGAGCCACCAGTGTACTAATGTCTAAACACCAATGGTGGAGCCACCAGTGTACTAATGTCTAAACACCAATGGTAGAGCCACCAGGGTACTAATGTCTAAACACCAACGGTAGAGCCACCAGGGTACTAATGTCTAAACACCAATGGTGGAGCCACCAGGGTACTAATGTCTAAACAAAATGGTAGAGCCACCAGAGTACTAATGTCTAAACACCAATGGTGGAGCCACCAGGATACTAATGTCTAAACACCAATGGTAGAGCCACCAGAGTACTAATGTCTAAACACCAATGGTGGAGCCACCAGGATACTAATGTCTAAACACCAATGGTAGAGCCACCAGGGTACTAATGTCTAAACACCAATGGTGGAGCCACCAGGGTACTAATGTCTAAACAAAATGGTAGAGCCACCAGGATACTAATGTCTAAACAAAATGGTAGAGCCACCAGGATACTAATGTCTAAACAAAATGGTAGAGCCACCAGAGTACTAATGTCTTAACACCAATGGTGGAGCCACCAGGATACTAATGTCTAAACACCAATGGTAGAGCCACCAGGGTACTAATGTCTAAACAAAATGGTAGAGCCACCAGGGTACTAATGTCTAAACACCAATGGTGGAGCCAATAGGGTACTAATGTCTAAACACCAATGGTAGAGCCACCAGGATACTAATGTCTAAACACCAATGGTGGAGCCACCAGGGTACTAATGTCTAAACACCAATGGTAGAGCCACCAGGATACTAATGTCTAAACACCAATGGTGGAGCCACCAGTGTACTAATGTCTAAACACCAATGGTAGAGCCACCAGGGTACTAATGTCTAAACACCAATGGTAGAGCCACCAGGATACTAATGTCAAAACACCAATGGTAGAGCCACCAGGATACTAATGTCTAAACAAAATGGTAGAGCCACCAGGATACTAATGTCAAAACACCAATGGTAGAGCCACCAGGATACTAATGTCTAAACACCAATGGTAGAGCCACCAGGATACTAATGTCAAAACACCAATGGTAGAGCCACCAGGATACTAATGTCTAAACACCAATGGTAGAGCCACCAGGATACTAATGTCTAAACACCAATGGTAGAGCCACCAGGATACTAATGTCAAAACACCAATGGTAGAGCCACCAGGATACTAATGTCTAAACACCAATGGTAGAGCCACCAGGATACTAATGTCTAAACACCAATGGTGGAGCCACCAGGATACTAATGTCTAAACACCAATGGTAGAGCCACCAGAGTACTAATGTCTAAACACCAATGGTAGAGCCACCAGGATACTAATGTCTAAACACCAATGGTAGAGCCACCAGGATACTAATGTCTAAACACCAATGGTGGAGCCACCAGGATACTAATGTCTAAACACCAATGGTAGAGCCACCAGAGTACTAATGTCTAAACACCAATGGTAGAGCCACCAGGATACTAATGTCTAAACACCAATGGTAGAGCCACCAGGATACTAATGTCTAAACACCAATGGTAGAGCCACCAGGATACTAATGTCTAAACACCAATGGTAGAGCCACCAGGGTACTAATGTCTAAACACCAATGGTAGAGCCACCAGGATACTAATGTCAAAACACCAATGGTAGAGCCACCAGGGTACTAATGTCTAAACACCAATGGTAGAGCCACCAGGGTACTAATGTCTAAACACCAATGGTAGAGCCACCAGGATACTAATGTCAAAACACCAATGGTAGAGCCACCAGGATACTAATGTCTAAACAAAATGGTAGAGCCACCAGGATACTAAGGTCTAAACACCAATGGTAGAGCCACCAGGATACTAATGTCAAAACACCAATGGTAGAGCCACCAGGATACTAATGTCTAAACAAAATGGTAGAGCCACCAGGATACTAATGTCAAAACACCAATGGTAGAGCCACCAGGATACTAATGTCTAAACACCAATGGTAGAGCCACCAGGATACTAATGTCAAAACACCAATGGTAGAGCCACCAGGATACTAATGTCTAAACACCAATGGTAGAGCCACCAGGATACTTATGTCTAAACACCAATGGTAGAGCCACCAGGATACTAATGTCAAAACACCAATGGTAGAGCCACCAGGATACTAATGTCTAAACACCAATGGTAGAGCCACCAGGATACTAATGTCTAAACACCAATGGTGGAGCCACCAGGATACTAATGTCTAAACACCAATGGTAGAGCCACCAGAGTACTAATGTCTAAACACCAATGGTAGAGCCACCAGGATACTAATGTCTAAACACCAATGGTAGAGCCACCAGGATACTAATGTCTAAACACCAATGGTAGAGCCACCAGGATACTAATGTCTAAACACCAATGGTAGAGCCACCAGAGTACTAATGTCTAAACACCAATGGTAGAGCCACCAGGATACTAATGTCAAAACACCAATGGTAGAGCCACCAGGATACTAATGTCAAAACACCAATGGTAGAGCCACCAGGATACTAATGTCTAAACACCAATGGTGGAGCCACCAGGATACTAATGTCTAAACACCAATGGTAGAGCCACCAGAGTACTAATGTCTAAACACCAATGGTAGAGCCACCAGGATACTAATGTCAAAACACCAATGGTAGAGCCACCAGGATACTAATGTCAAAACACCAATGGTAGAGCCACCAGGATACTAATGTCTAAACACCAATGGTGGAGCCACCAGGATACTAATGTCTAAACACCAATGGTGGAGCCACCAGGATACTAATGTCTAAACACCAATGGTAGAGCCACCAGGATACTAATGTCTAAACACCAATGGTGGAGCCACCAGGATACTAATGTCTAAACACCAATGGTGGAGCCACCAGAGTACTAATGTCTAAACACCAATGGTAGAGCCACCAGGATACTAATGTCTAAACACCAATGGTGGAGCCACCAGGTTACTAATGTCTAAACACCACGGGAGGCAACTGTCGCTTGAAAACCCGTGTTTTTTTAGGGCAATGCTCCCCCCACCCCAACTACTACAAATGGACATTTTTTCATAATCGAAGTCCTATACTATAAATAACTATTTTGAAGCTCTGTGTAGGTGGTGGGTAGGGCATCTGAAACGTCCTGATGGCGAGCAATTATAAGATTTTTTTTCTATTTCATCAGGAGGGGGGGAGGAGTTGCCTGAAAGAAACAATGAACCCAGTAACCTTTTGACTCAATATTGTAGTGAAGAAGGCCTAGTTGAAGCCCCAGGCCTAGTGTAGAACAAACAGCGCAATCATCCCAATATCTCCTTTATTTCTGGCCTAAGGCGGATCATTATCTAGCGATAATCTTGTACTAATGCGAATATTAAACACCAAATGTAGAGAGCTGACAGACATGTGGGGGGGGGGGTGTTACTGCACTACACAAAGACGGTGTGATGGTGTCAACAATAATCTTGTTAATACTGCACTACACAAAGACGGTGTGATAGTGTCAGCAATAATCTTGCTAATACTGCACTACACAAAGACGGTGTGATGGTGTCAACATTAATCATGTTAATACTGCACTACACAAAGACGGTGTGATGGTGTCAGCAATAATCTTGTTAATACTGCACTACACATCTGACAGATAGTTGAATTAACTAAATGCTAGGTTACATCAAGACGTAAAAACTTTGAACACAGTTGCAAGAAATGATATACCATAAAATCTTTAAATCGCGCGCGCACACACACACAGACACACACCGACTATATCCACTTTTTGTTAGTGGTAAAAACAGTAAAAAAATGACCCCCTCGGGATTTCTGGTGAACCCTAGGGTTTTTTGGTTAACCCTTGGGTTATCTGAGAAGCAGAGGGGTTGACTGCTGATCAGCTGATTAATCTGAATAGTTCAAATGATACAGATAACAATAGACTTGTTACCTTAATATTGAGGGTACGGCTAAAGAGATCAACTGATGGTTTATTTAAAACTGTATTGGTATGTAGTAGACTTGTCAGCAGACACACGAAACTGGCCTACACCTATAACAACACGGGCCTTATGAATGAGTGAGTACGATAGCTTACATGGGATACTACGGTCATAGTTTTCTTTGTCATCACACTTAAAAATTGTGCTTACTTCTGAATTGGAATTAATTATATCTAGTATTAGGTTTGAATACAATGAACAGACATTCATTTTGTTTTATTTAGTTCTCTTTTTAAGCATAAAGATAGGCCTAGAAAAATGCTATATGCATAATCTATATTAATTTAAATAACGAAAATTGCGAATTTTAAAAAAATCAAAATTGTCAGCACACCTTGAAGGTACGGGTGAGCGTCTATCCCTGTGATTGAATGAATGGATTCCATTGAGAGAGTTAAAGGCGCCTAATCCGCGCGATCTTCAAGCCTCCGCCACATGTTTGGTTACATTGTGAGTCAAAGATTTCTGCAGTAACAACACTATTCATCCAGCACAAGCAACTACACACTAATTTACATGTAACACGCCAGAGCGAATCGATTCAATCTACCATTACAGGCTTTCCTCGCCTTGGTGGCAACACACAGTCTAACACACATTTCGTTGTTCTATTAAAGGGGATAAGTAAATGACAGGATGGAATAGGATAGGGGGTAGGCCCACGTCCAATCCCCGACCTATCACATGGACATTTAAAAACAACACCGGCGGTGTGTACATCACGTGGTGTGCACAAGCTGTTCCCACGGCGAACAAAAGACGCGTTCAACACGGCTGCCTACCTCCACTACGTCACATGCGCTCCCCTCTGCTCATGATCTAGTCAGCTGCGTGTATGTGTGTTCTAAATATTGCCATACTGCACCTATCACAATCATACGTTTACACACAAGGGTCTAGTCTACACACATATCGTAATATTTTATTTTCAAGCAAACTGTAACAAATAAGGTTATACACACCGGGTCGTCCAAAAAATGGCATCAACTGTTTTCGCGTTGAAAGGAACTAATTAACGAATTTCATCAGTTACTACGCATTTAAATTATGTGTGTGTATAAATTGATGAATCACGACCCAGTTCGGTTCATGTTTGAGACAAATCGCTGTATCAAAATTTATTTTTCGAAGAAAGGCAGACTGAAGTGTGACGTCATTTGAGGGAGGTTCTGACTATTACAATAGAGAGCCGAGCGAAGAAAGCGCGGCAAATAGTGACAAGGGAGAGTTCAAAAAGTGGGACGAAATATTTTGTTTTAAAAAGTAACCTGAAAATTTCACATAACAGCTAATTTTTGAAATATTTTTATTTTTTGTAATTGTTTTGACTGAAAATGTCATATAGACCTATCTATACTTCAATGAAATTACAATTTTGAGGGGTGTCGTAGGCTGTGGCGTGACGTGACTTTATGGGGGAAGGGAGGGGGGGGGGGGGGCAGAGTTTTTGTGACGATGCAGACAGGGTAGGTAAAATATTTATAACATGTGTGGCGTTGTTTAAAGTTGTAACACACTTTATGGAGTAAAAGACTAGGACTTGAAGAAATCACTTTTACTATCTATTTATAGGTAACCCAATAGGTGTGGGTATGGTCTACCTATAACACCATCTAGCTCTACCTGTAACACCATCTAGCTCTACCTATAACACCATCTAGCTCTACCTGTAACATCATCTAGCTCTACCTGTAACACCATCTAGCTCTACCTGTAACACCATCTAGGTCTACCTGTAACACCATCAAGCTCTACCTGTAACACCATCTAGCTCTACCTGTAACACCATCTAGGTCTACCTGTAACAGCATCTATAGTTCTACCTGTAACACTATCTAGGTCTACCTGTAACACCATCTAGCTCTACCTGTAACACCATCTATAGGTCTACCTGTAACACCATCTAGCTCTAACTGTAACACCATCTAGCTCTACCTGTAACACCATCTAGCTCTACCTGTAACACCATCTATAGGTCTACCTGTAACACCATCTAGCTCTACCTGTAACACCATCTAGCTCTACCTGTAACACCATCTAGCTCTACCCGTAACACCATCTATAGGTCTACCTGTAACACCATCTAACTCTACCTGTAACACCATCTAGCTTTACCTGTAACACAATCTAGCTCTACCTGTAACACCATCTAGGTCTACCTGTAACACCATCTAGCTCTACCTGTAACACCATCTAGGTCTACATGTAACACCATCTAGGTCTACATGTAACACCATCTAGCTCTACCTGTAACACCATCTAGCTCTACCTGTAACACCATCTAGGTCTACCTGTAACACCATCTAGCTCTACCTGTAACACCATCTAGGTCTACATGTAACACCATCTAGGTCTACATGTAACACCATCTAGCTCTACCTATGACAACGACAATGGCCAATCGATTGTCATGCCGGAAACAGCTTCTTGTTTTTCCCCGTGTCCACATTTGACTTCTATTATAATTTATAAAGCCCAAACGACAGAGGTCACCGAAGACACAATTACATTAGCCGACAATGTGAAAGAACCAGACGAATTGAAACAAACCGTATATTGAAGAGGGAAACACAAGGGATATATGACTGCCTGATGGTGTATTGGCCTAAGATCATTTAAAGACAATACATAAGACATTTAGCTACATATATCAACTACTCTGATTTAGCAACGTACGTCTATTAGGCGGATACAAAAATATATATTTTAACCAGTTGTCCCCCCCCCCTTCTCCGAAGAACAATGTCTGAAAGAAACACTGGTATGTTTTCAGGAGGTAAGACTTGGTACATCTGACCCAAGGAGCGACGGCCAACCTCTAGCTGTTATTGAGGAATGCCTAATGGGTGTCGTGCTTCGTTCTAGCCTGTGTTGGATCCTCTACCAGAACTAATTTACATCTCTCAACCTCTTTAGTGGGTTGCCCAACATCTTAAAGCTATCACGTGCCATCCAGTGATAGGGTTGTCCAAACACAACCTACCGAATTTTTTTCCCTATAATTTAAGCTTGGGGCTTAATTAGCGGCATAAATTAAAAACAAGTTAATCAGTTTTCAAAAAGGAGATGATAGAAAGGTCCACAGGGCACCGCGTGTCACTGTCTTAATAGCACCATGCTTCACTGTCTTAATAGCACCATGTTTTACTGTCTTAATAGTACCGTGTTAATAGCACAATGTTTCAATGTGTTAATAGTACCAAGTTTCACCGTGTTAATAGCACCATCTTTCACCGTGTGAATAGACAGCAAGGGACTTACTTGTGTTGCCGCCATTGCCGCTTGAGACAGGGGCGGGTGGAGCTTGTTGGTTCTGGTGGAGACGGCCCTTCTCGGTGCTCCTGCGGGTTATGATGCTGGCACTTCCATTGTCCTTCACCACTGGGCACAGAGGGGAGGGCACCGGTGTCTGGCCACTGGATTTTGTCCCTTGCTTTGATGGAGATGGTAATCTGAAAACATTAAAAGTAGATGAGTCTGAGAGATGAGCCAGGTAGTCTGAGAGATGAGGCAGGTAGTCTGAGAGATGAGGCAGGTAGTCTGAGAGATGAGGCAGGTAGTCTGAGTGATGAGGCAGGTAGTCTGAGTGATGAGGCAGGTAGTCTGAGAGATGAGGCAGGTAGTCTGAGAGATGAGGCAGGTAGTCTGAGAGATGAGGCAGGTACTCTGAGAGATGAGGCAGGTAGTCTGAGAGATGAGGCAGGTAGTCTGAGAGATGAGGCAGGTAGTCTGAGAGATGAGGCAGGTAGTCTGAGAGATGAGGCAGGTACTCTGAGAGATGAGGCAGGTAGTCTGAGGCAGGTAGCCTGAGAGATGAGGCAGGTAGTCTGAGAGATGAGGCAGGTAGTCTGAGAGATGAGGCAGGTAGTCTGAGAGATGAGGCAGGTAGTCTGAGAGATGAGGCAGGTAGTCTGAGAGACGAGCCAGGTAGTCTGAGAGATGAGGCAGGTAGTCTGAGTGATGAGGCAGGTAGTCTGAGAGATGAGGCAGGTAGTCTGAGTGATGAGGCAGGTAGTCTGAGAGATGAGGGAGGTAGTCTGAGGCAGGTAGTCTGAGAGATGAGGCAGGTAGTCTGAGAGATGAGGCAGGTAGTCTGAGTGATGAGGCAGGTAGTCTGAGTGATGAGGCAGGTAGTCTGAGAGATGAGGCAGGTAGTCTGAGAGATGAGGCAGGTAGTCTAAGGCAGGTAGTCTGAGAGATGAGGCAGGTAGTCTGAGGCAGGTAGTCTGAGAGATGAGGCAGGTAGTCTGAGAGATGAGGCAGGTAGTCTGAGAGATGAGGCAGGTACTCTGAGAGATGAGGCAGGTAGTCTGAGAGATGAGGCAGGTAGTCTGAGGCAGGTAGTCTGAGAGATGAGGCAGGTAGTCTGAGAGATGAAGCAGGTAGTCTGAGAGATGAGCCAGGTAGTCTGAGGCAGGTAGTCTGAGAGATGAGGCAGGTAGTCTGAGAGATGGTCGTCCGAGACTTGACCAATATATGTTGAATGTCATCGCCTGAATGACCAAGTACTAGTATATTAAAAAGAAACAAGCAGTAAATAGATTGGAATCAGCAGATGGTAAATTGCGAAATGCTTTTAATCCAACGGTTTAAAGCCCACTCCACATATGTTACTGAACACATAAGCAGCTTCAGATTACACGTCTTATTCTATGGCCATTCTATTGATCTCCTCTAAAGCCACTCAATAAATATACATAAGCACAGGGAGGGGGGTATGAGTAGGAAACACAATAAAAGAGAAGGGTTAATGCTATAACAACTGGACAGAAACTCCTCACCTCCTCCCCCCACCTCCTCCCCCACCTCCTTCCCCACTCCTCCCCCCCTCCCCCCACCTCCATGTACAAACAGAAGTAAGTTCCGCCCACCTCCATACACCCAACTTTTTTTTATCTAAAACTGCACCGGGTCTGAAGCTAGTGAGCAATATTCGACTTGATAGTATGAATAGTATGACATCCACACGGAGGTAGAAGAGGGGGGGTAAGAAAAATCGACGTAGATCGGTGGGGGGGGGGGGGTTACATGTTGAGTAAAAGCTGACATTTTAAAACAAAGACTAAACTCGTATCCAACATGTAAAAAGCACAGTTAAGATGACGGCCCAGCTCAACATTAACCACACTATCACAAAAAGCCATGACCCAACATCTAATTAACAACAGTATCACAAAAAGCCAGGTCCCAACATCTAATTAACAACAGTATCACAAAAAGCCAGGTCCCAACATCTAATTAACAACAGTATCACAAAAAGCCAGGACCCAACACCTAATTAACAACAGTATCACAAAAAGCCAGGTCCCAACATCTAATTAACAACAGTATCACAAAAAGCCATGACCTAAGACCCAACACCTAAAATATCAAACTTGAAAACAATTTACTGAGCGCGACTTAAATTCTCTTTCTAAGATTGTTGCAAAAGTATGACGTCCCACTTTCAGAACCTATCCTCCCCTTCGCCTCACATTTTACACACATTTGAACGTCCATACAAAACTGTGACGTCATTTATTGACGACCCTGATGAAAATATACCTTTTTGGTTGACGTGTGATGAAACAAACATAGAGGTCATGAACCCGGGGAGACCTTGCGACTTTTTAATCTTATAATGTATTAAATATGAATGAATAAAATACAGGGTATGAATACAGAAAAATAAAACTTTCAGCTCTTGTTCCACCTGACACACAGAGTTTAATGCAAAAGTTTTTGGTAGCTAATGGGGAATGAAAAAAATATATATATATTTATACTTTGACGTCATAGCATATTACTTAAACTATTTTTGTGGACGTCATAAATGGATTACCCAAATATATATGTCAGCTGGGGTTTAAATATATCCATGGGTCAGCTGAAGTCATTTTAAACGTAAATAAAACATCAGTGTGATGTAAACAAAGATTGGCAAACCATGATAGGCTTAAGTTGTGATTCCATCACACATTACCTAAAGAAAGCATTCATTGATGAACTAGGTCGTTCATACAATGAACTAAAATGTTCATACAATGAACTAAAATGTTCATACAATGAACTAAAATGTTCATACAAAGAACCAAAACGTACATTAAAATGTTCAAACAATGAACTAAAACGTTCATTCAATGAACTAAAACGTTCATAGAATGAACTAAAATGTTCATACAATGAACTAAAACGTTCATAGAATGAACTAAAGTGTTCATACAATGAACTAAAACGTTCATTCAATGAACTAAAACGTTCATAGAATGAACTAAAATGTTCATACAATGAACTAAAACGTTCATAGAATGAACTAAAATGTTCATACAATGAACTAAAACGTTCATAGAATGAACTAATATGTTCATAGAATGAACTAAAATGTTCATACAATGAACTAAAACGTTCATACAATGAACCAGAGGGGACCAACTTACAATTTGGTGCACCCTCGGGAACAACCTTTCAATTTTTAATTTTTGCATCCCCCCTCTCAAACTTTCAATTTGCATCCCCCCCCCCCCCCCTTAAACTTTTAATTTGCACCACCACCACCCCTCATATATTTTTTTTATTTATGATACAAAACTGCAGATCTTAATTTGTTTTTACAACCCATTTTGGCGCCCCCTAAGGTCAGCGCCCGGTGACATATGTACCCCCACCCCCCTCGCTATAGGCCTACCTCTGCAATGAACTAAAACGTTCATAGAATGAACTAAAACGTTCATAGAATGAACTAAAACGTTCATAGAATGAACTAAAACGTTCATAGAATGAACTAGATCGCTCATACAATAAACTAGAACGTGAATTCTCAAAAACATTATAAGGTGCTCAGATTGGAATAATCAATACATGTTTGAACTGCTGGCATAAAGATGTGTGGCATTCATGAAGGCATGTCAGCAAACTTTATTTCCTGAGAGTGGTTGTGTGATATACAGCAGGCCATTGCTAGAGTTGTGTCATATACAGCAGGACATTGCTAGAGTTGTGTAATATACAGCAGGACATTGCTAGAGTCGTGTCATATACAGCAGGACATTGCTAGAGTTGTGTCATATACAGCAGGACATTGCTAGAGTTGTGTCATATACAGCAGGACATTGCTAGAGTTGTGTCATATACAGCAGGACATTGCTAGAGTTGTGTCATATACAGCAGGACATTGCTAGAGTTGTGTAATATACAGCAGGACATTGCTAGAGTTGTGTCATATACAGCAGGACATTGCTAGAGTTTGGTTGTGTGATATACAGCAGGACATTGCTAGAGTTGTGTCATATACAGCAGGACATTGCTAGAGTTTGGTTGTGTGATATAAAGCAGGACATTGCTAGAGTTTGGTTGTGTTATATACAGCAGGACATTGCTAGAGAGTGGTTGTGTGATATACAGCAGGACATTGCTAGAGTTTGGTTGTGTAATATACAGCAGGACATTGCTAGAGTTTGGTTGTGTGATATACAGCAGGACATTGCTAGAGTTTGGTTGTGTAATATACAGCAGGACATTGCTAGAGTTTGGTTGTGTCATATACAGCAGGACATTGCTAGAGAGTGGTTGTGTGATATACAGCAGGACATTGCAAGAGTTTGGTTGTGTAATATACAGCAGGACATTGCTAGAGTTTGGTTGTGTTATATACAGCAGGACATTGCTAGAGTTTGGTTGTGTAATATACAGCAGGACATTGCTAGAGTTTGGTTGTGTGATATACATTGCTAGAGTTTGGTTGTGATATACAGCAGGACATTGCTAGAGTTTGGTTGTCCTATTGTGTTTTAAGCGAGAACAAGACCTAATCTACACCACACCCGATGATTGTAGACCAAATCTACACCACGCCCGATGATTGTAGACCTAATCTACACCACACTTGATGATTGTAGACCTAATCTACACCACTCCCGATGATTGTAGACCTAATCTACACCACACCCGATGATTGTAGACCTAATGTACACCACACTTGATGATTTTGGACCTAATCTACACCACACTTGATGATTTTGGACCTAATCTACACCACACCCGATGATTGTGGGCTAATCTACACCACACTTGATGATTGTGGTCCTAATCTACACCACACTTGATGATTTTGGACCTAATCTACACCACACGCGATGATTTTGGACCTAATCTACACCACATCCGATGATTGTGGGCCTAATCTACACCACACCCGATGATTGTAGACCTAATCTACACCACACCTGATGATTGTAGACCTAATCTACACCACACCCGATGATTGTGGGCCTAATCTACACCACACTTGATGAGTGTGGGCTAATCTGCTATTGTTTATTTGCTTTATGACACCGAGGAAAGGTCACTGGAGCTGCTGTTAGCCGACGAGGACTCTAGACATGTAAATTATTTGTAAATTGCACAGGGTGTAGGGAGGATATGTAGAATTTGTTTCATTTATTCCTGTAGGCGTGTATCCTGTGCTGTCGTCTAA